CATGGGAATTCAGCTTCTCGACCATCTTTCTGTTTTCTTGAGCAATGCCAAAGGGACGAATGTCCTCTGCTGACCTGTCGAGATTGCATGGAGTTTGTGAAGCTTCCCGGACAAGATCGGGGTCCTGGAAATCCGTTTGGCGAAGAATGAGACTCTCACTTAGGAGGGCGAAAGTACCATACAGACGTCGGTCGTCGGCTTCCTCCTGACACAGGATGCAGGTTCCTGTTGGATATTTCCAGTTGTGCTTCCGGTCTTCTGCTTGTTCCATGGCTTCTTCGTCCTCATCAAGATCCGACCCCCAATCAATGGAGCCTTGATTCTCCAAGAAGCTCTTCTGTTGCTGCTGAAACTGTGCCATAACTTTGGCCTGGCGATTCATTGCCGCTTGCTTTCTTCTTTCGCGCTCTTCATCGGCAGAAATGTTTGCTGGAGACGCAGTACTGACGCGGTCTACGGGCAATCCGAGCTTCACGAATTCTGCATTAAATGCCCCCGGTCGTTTCTGCTTAAGGCGCTTGAGGACAAGGGATATCTTGGGATGAACTGCCTTGAAATCCTCATTGGTGGATAGCATATCCAAGAGCGAAACAATGGTCCTGGCGTTACTTGCGTCGGGCATGAAGTTGCTTCGGGCGACTCGTGTGAGCGCTGTGTGGACAAATGATTTGGGGGGTTTTCCCGAAACATCAGTCTCAGCACTGTCATCTTCCATAGTGGCGAGTAAAACGAGATGAAGAACAACCTGCAAAAAGGTTTCGATCCTAGTGCTGGGCACAAGCGGTGTAAACTTGTGCGCACTAAGAGCGTACAGCAAGGAATAATAAATGACCTGTGCAAAGACACCCGTGCTGGTGAATTCGGCGAGATGTTGGAATAGACCGGACGGTATCGGTCGAAGCTTGGGCTCAAATACGATTTCTTCTACAGTCTTTCCCGTCTTCTTGGCCATCTTTTTGCGGTAAGCAAGCTCGGACTCCTCGCGCTGATTCTTGTTATAGTGAGCAATATAAGGGTCGATTTCTTCGATGAATTCTTGGCGGAGTTCAAAGGTGCCCACATCAGATACGCCTTCCGGAGGCTTGAAAGAGGCCATTTCATCCAAGACTTGTGGGAACTCTTCTGACTCTTGGTATTTTTCCGGAAGCTTCTGACAAACCTCGTTAAACGACAGTGGCTTGAGGCACAAGACGTGAATGATATCCCGGCGCATGGCCAGCAGACGAGAATTCGGCTCGTCTTCTGGAGCAATTAAGCATGTACGGTCGCTCAGGAGAACAATGAGGAGATGAATCATATCCTCAACGACGTCGAGGTGCTGAGTATCATCTTGAGCTTCTGACAGAACCTCAAAAATACCCTTTACCCAATTTTCCATTCCGAATCGGTCAATAATGGATGCCAAGACTCGAGCCGGATCACAGACTACCATGGCCGTTTGCAAAAGGAAAATGTCTCGGTGATGACAGACATCTCTCTGCCCAACGCCACGATAAGTGCTGGCCTGATGGCGAAGACTGATGCCATTTCGAACCCACATATTAGCCTTGATCTGAGCCAACCAAGCACAAACTCGGAGCGGGTAATCAAAGACGGCCATCAAATAATCCTCAGGGCTGTACTCTTTCTTGGGGATCTGCAAAGGCCCTATGGTCATGAGCCTTGGCTTCGACTTGAGTTCCTGTCTAGTGAAGCTCAAGAGAGAGCGCATCTTTGATGCCGGAAGAGACCTTCCGCACTCGATCAGCCAAGACAAGGTGTAATGCAACCCGTGGTGGAAGCTGATGGCATCTTTCTCGACAACAAATTTTACAACATCATACGATTTGCCTTCGACATCGAACTCCAAGTCGTTTATCGTCTTGAACCTTACTTCGTCTTTGATCTCTGCTTGTTTGAACCTGAGTCGATCCGCGCCAACGGAGTTGAATGTGGCAGCTTTGGCGGCTACGCGGATGGCGTTCATGAGATTGCGCATCTCGCCAGGCGGGCAATGCCGGAATGCCTCAGCTAAGTTCCTTGCTTGCAAGTTGATCTGCCTGGTGACTAGAGAAGCCGTAATCCAGGAATCAGCTTCATATTCAACGTGCTCGACGACTGCGCGAACGTTGGGTCCAATGCCTTGGTGAAGCTTCACCAAATCTAGAAATTGCATCAGGTATCTTGGTTCGCTTCTGAGCCGCTCCTGAACATGTTGAGAACTGAAGAGATATTTCAAATCTTGATAGAAGTGATACATGCGCCTATTAGTGACAGATCCGCTATCAAATGCTAGAACAGCAATGGGCGAGAGATCCCACGGGTGGCCAACTTGTCTGGTCGTCAAGAATGTAAACAGAATTGCCAGCAAGCTGGTCAAAAAGTTACCTCGCTCTACTACTTCGGCAGTGATGGATGCCGTCGTCAGCATCTGGAGAGAGAGGTTGATGATGGAATGGTCTGGTTCCCTGTCGCCAACGAGATACAGCTGAGCTAGGATGGTGTAGAGGCTAGCGAATCGAAGGGCCACAACTCGCTTGAACTCAGGAATCTGGACTACCGTGGAAATATAGAGGGCGCGGAGGTCATTTCTTGCCCTTTTCCACATTCGCAGGTCGAAAAGAAGCAGCCAGTCTAAGCGAACCCGCTGGAAAACATCCTCTGCCGGCGGCACGTTCCTCGATTGTGTATAGGCTGTTGGAGTTTCGAGCCAGTAGAGCCCGGGGTTGGGCATCAGCTTTTCCGACTTGCCAGGTGTTTTAGGGATTTTTACGTTCGCTTTTGAGTATATACTTTGAGAAATGAGAGGCTCTTGCATGTCAGAATCGGATGGCGTAGTCTCACGTTGCTGAGTAGTCTGAGTCGTTTGCTCTTGTGCCTGCTCGGGAGCAGCTGCAGGAACAGGCGGAGGCGGAGGCGGAGGCGGATATCCAGCCAGAGTGGCCTCGTCCTCTTCCAAAGCCTCGTTGGGCCTCAATGCCATGTCTACTTCAGGAACGTCGCCCTGTGCGTCTACCATCATAACGTCATCATCACCATCATCCGAGATGGAGCGATTCTCATCGTCGTCATCCTCCTCCTCATCATCGTCCATATCTGCATCGTCGTCATCGTCATCGTCATCATCTCCGTCATCAGCATCTAATGTTAGGCCTTGAGCACCGGCCGCAGCTTGCAGAGCGAGAATAAATCGGGCGTTAACATTGTGCATTCTGGCTCTTGTTTCAAGCCGCTGGTCGTCTGCCTCCTCGTCGTCAATAAGGCCCAGAGTATGGGTTGCGGCGCTTCCTTTCCTCCAGGGCTTCATCAGCTCTTCGCATATGGTTCGTCGAAGGATGTGGTTATCGTGGCCAACTGAGCAACCCGATATGTCACTTAACCATTCGATCAATGTACCACACATCTGTTCTCGAAATGTGTCTCTCGCTGATCGAATGGTGACTGTGACTCTGATGGACTCCAATGTTTTGGCCATTTGTAGCAGTCGGTCAACATCGTCCAAAAATATCAAAAGGCTTCGCCCAACTGCGTCAGTTTCCCAGGCATCCTTATTGGCCTGTTTTCGAGATTTCCTACAAGCCCTGGCTACCTGATCTCTAACCTCATCAACAGTGTGCTTTTCGTCATTCCATAGCACTAGTGCATAATCCGTACAAGCTTGAGCATCAGACCCGTAATATGTCGACTTTAAACGAGATGCTTCTTCGTCCTTCAGGATCGAATCCTTCGTTTTTGTTTGACGCAACTGCTCGGGCGAACAAGAGACAACATCGCAGATATAATCGAACGCTCTCCCAACTGTCATCTGTACACTGTTGACGAGATCTTCAGGGAGCGAGTCAGGTTTGGCGGCACCGCCCATGTCAGAAGCAGAGGCCAGATCAGAGTGGATGGTGCAGAACAGCGGCGTCTTCCAAGCCTCATCGTCTCCGCAGTCACAGCAGCCACTGTTTCCCACTGAGATCTGAATTCTTACCATGTGCCCCGTATGATCCGTTGCATCAAAGCATCGGCTACAGAGGCAGCATGTCTCGTCCGTCCCGCAAGTCCTGCACATATACGACGCCTCGCCAGGCTTGAAGATGTGGCCGCATCGTTTCCCTCGAGCCGCCTCTGTGTATTCAGCACCTTCAACAGCGCCCTGAGCGTCGCCAAGCTTCAGGCTGTCGGACGGTCGACCCTCGGGGAACAGAAGTCGCATATGTTCATGGTTGCCGCCAGCCAAAGACCAGAAGAGGCTGGTTAGGAGCTCTCGGGAAGCTTCCTCTGTATAGCGATAGTTGAATCGCGCCGGTAGGTCTGCCAGTAGCTGGCAGAGCTGCTGCTCCTGAGTAGATAAAGTATTCTCCATTCTCATGAGCTCATGATGCAGCGTCGCTATGCAACTGGCCGAAGGCGTTTGCGCAATGCGGGAGGTGGGGGTTCTTTTGGTAGTGTCAGCTCTAGGTGAGCAAATGCTCGATAGAAATGACGAAGTAGTTCTGGAGCTGGAAATAGGCTGGCTAGTGCGGTAGATAAAGTATCAACAAGGATTGAGGGCGTAGATGTATCTGCAGCGTCGATGTTGTGGGTATGCAAATATACCAGTACGATGTGCGATTTGTTTTGATTGAAAAAAGTTGATTTGTCTTGAAGCGGCGAAGATTGTTGCTACCTAGCGGCAGCTGTCAGGCGGTGCTACAAGGTCTGGCAGCACCTAAAGCTGGGTGGCCGCCACCAATTTTCAGACAGCCCTGGAGCCCTTTTACATGTACCTTTGCCCCTCGGTGACGAGGAGTCAATACGTCAGTTGGCGCTGGAGCAACGTTCGAGTCGCCCCACGGAAATGAATGAATTAATCACATGTGACTTGTTGTTGTATAGCAAAAGTATTACGGAGAACTACCAGAGAATCATTTCATAGCGAGACCACGGGTCGCGAGGGTGTTTGTGCACAGGCACGGGGGCTCAGTAAATGACATCGTATGACCGCAAAGTTAACGTGGGCCGGATGCCAAGGACAATAGAGCAGTGATACGGATCCAAAAGAAAAAAAGAGGTTGTGAATCGTTCTATTCCTTGTTTATTTTGTACATTTTCCCCAGACAGTCCCATGTTGCACCCATTCTAGCCATAGTAACAGGAGTTTGCATGGTGTCTTTACTCCTCGTCCTCGCCGCCCTCAATGTACTTGTGTCGGATGTCCTTCCATTGACGCTGGTCTCCTGGTTAGCTCTCGGCCGGCAATTGCCTCGTTTTGCCTCGTAACTTACGCCTCGGTTGTTGTTGTCCCAGATCTTGTTCATGGTGGCGTTGAAGCCGCTGTTGCACCATTAATTAGCCATTTGCTCTGTCCCGAGGCTCGATCGACATTGTAGGTTTCTCATACATCTCCCAGGCGAAGCCCGCACCGAAAACGGCCGCAAGCATGGTGTAGTTCTTGCGGAACACGGTACTGTAGAGTTATGTGTTAGGATGTCGGATGTGCGTTCGTTGATTCGCTGTCGTTGCGACTTGCCTGTAGATAGACTGTGCGAGAGACTGCGCATGTGCGCGATTAGCTCGTGATGCGATAACAGAGCAGACTGAGTTCCTTTGATCCTTACCATTTTGGCTTTGGCGAGCAATTGAATGCTTCTGATGCAGTCGCGATTGCGTAGAGACCGAGGTACTGTCGTTGGCGGGTTTTTTAAGAGGTTAGGAATGGCCTCAGAAGAAGTTCTGCTAGGGAAATCCGCGAGGTCGCAAGCAGAAAGTAAGCAACGCTGATTGGCCGGCGGTAACCTGAAATTCCGCTCCACAATTTCAACCCGGCGCCTCCCGCCTCCCGCCTCAGTCAATTCTCTGCATTACTTACATGCATTGCAGTGCGATTTTCTCTTTTTTTTCTGTCATGTTCTAACTCTGTCTTGAAAGGGAAATTCAGTTACTTGAAGGCCTTTTCCCCCCCTTCTTTCCCCTGAATTTTCTTCCATCCCTGCCTACTTAAATCCCTTGCGACACTATAATGGTCCTCTCTTCGTTTGACTCTCCTCTACATTTTGTACCTAAGAAGCCTCTTTTAAACCTGAACGTTATGTGTACCTACCGTCTGTTTCGTGTGCAGTCATTTACCTATGTATTATCAGGAAGGTATATGTCCAGGTAGCTGTTGTGACTGACCTCCACCCTTCCCATCTGTATCTCAGCATTGTGTCGTGATCCCTCCGGAGGCACCACTTCCGCTCATCTATATCAGTAGCCCTACAAATTTCGAATGGTATATATAAGTAGGAACCATTGATTCACGGTTGCTATGTCATGAAAGCCATCTCACTCGTACCTCCCACAAAAGTGCAATAAACTTAGATAGCATGCTGCTGAGTCAAGGCCGAGGATATATGTCCTAACCACGTACGGCGGTCAATTCTCCTTTCGTAATTATTCACATTGCATCCTTTAAAATACCACCGCATTGCCCAAACCATGGCCTCACATTATTCCTCACATTATGACAATCAACAGTTTGCCGACATCGTCTACCGAATGGGTCGTCTGGAGACAAGAGTGGAAGCTCTATCCAAGAGCATGAACGATGTTGTCGCCACGCGTTTGGTCGGGGTGGAGGCCAGATTGAAAAGCATAGAGGGGCAGTTGAATGATGTGGGAGTTTACATGGACGAAGCAACCAGAGTAATGAAGTTGGCAGCGATATCACGAATGGCCGCGTGAGTTCCATATCGGCATCAATGGCATCTACATTGGCAGCTAACTCAGCACGTTTGCTGGCGCAGAGAACATAATGCCCAAGCACGAGACCAAAATAGCTATATCACAAGCCCCGAGATGCATATCTGCCCACTTCGAAACCGCGACAATAATACCCAAGTCGCCTGTCCGAAAACTTTGACTGAGCTGGAAGCCTGGGGTCGTAAGTTATTGAGATCTGATGCTCATCTGTATCCAGAGTGTTGATTCCGTCTTAGCGGACCAAATGGCTAAGCTATTGAACGAACTGGGAGAGGATTACAGAATTGTTGCGGATATAGATCGTGTGAAATGGGTCCTCGGAATTCGAATCGGGAAGAATGCGCAACGCTTCGACTGAATCGGACACACATGGGCTCTGGAAGTATATTCACATGGAGAATAGCATGGCTGGATGTTTGGGGCATACTATGGTTTGCATGACCAATGAGTACTCGAGATTGGCTGCGATTCTTATATTGAAGAGCCACGACTTTGCCAATGTGCCTTCCAAATTTGGTAGTCTCGGTGTGCATCATGTATGCTAGGATGTGGCTATGTTAGAATTTGGAATCAAGAAACTCGGACAGATAGTTTTTGTTCTATTCTATTTTTTCTTTCTCTCTTTCTTTTGTTCAATCGAGTCTGAAAATCCGTGATCACTACTGAATCATGTGCTAGGATACAGGTGCCAGCTCTTTGAAATAGCGCCATCCCGGTATATAGGCGCATGTAGGGGGTTGTTCATGAAATACCAAGGTGAGAACAACATCGTCAACATGTGCTTCTAACAGGCCAAACCCAAGATAAGCTCAGCCACTAGCAGCGTAACGCAGAACGAAAGAGTGGGGGTGCGTTGGGCCACATTTTCTCCGTCCTGCGTGGTCACGCCTCGGTTCTCATCCGAGCTTCAAGTTGTTTTGCAGACTGTAGGCACTGTGTTGCCTGAGTGCTGCTGCATCGAACATCGCCTGGCCAATCCGTAGTTGTGCCTGAGAGGATTAGTTTTATGCCATTGGAAGCCTGTGCATCCGAGCCGTCAATTCAACAGGCTGTGTGATTGGGCACGGCTGAGTCACTGCGAATCAAACATCCTCGCTGCCTCACGACATACCTTCTCAGAGCATCGTGCCTGCAGCCTCGACAATGGCACCCTCTACCACAAATTCTGGTATTACAACAGACGAGGCCAGCGGAGAGCGTCACATTCCAGAGTCTATTCGAGCCGACGGGAGCAAACGCAAGGCCATCAAGATCCGACCCGGCTACCAACCCCCCGAAGATGTCCAGGTCTACAAGAATCGTCCCGCAGAAGCCTTTCGGGAGCGAGGAAAGCGAATAGGCATACCTGGCGCTGCCTCGGCGCAAGATGAGAAGCCAGACCAAGGCTCGGCCGCGAGCAATAAGAATGCGAAACGCCGAGAGGCCCGCAAAAAGGCCAAGGCGGCTGGCGACGGTGAGGGCGAGGCCAAGGAAGACACAATTGCAGCTACGCAAGATGGCCAGCCCAAGGTGGAAGAGGTTGATCCTGAGGTTGAGCGCGAGAAAAAGGCTAGAAGTCTTAAGAAGAAACTCAAGCAAGCCAAGGAGCTCAAGATGAAGAAGGATGGAGGCGAAGGTCTGTTGCCCGAGCAGATCGCCAAGGTCATCAAGATCAACGAACTCATTCGCGAATTGGATGCCCTTGGCTTTGATGCAGACGGCGAGCCGAAGACGGAGACGAAAGATGGCGTAGCGGAGGGCAGCGAGAACAACAAATGAAGGGCATTTCTGCACGAGACAATCCAAACAAGGGAACCCCGCCGTCCTCAGTCGATACGTTTAATACCACGCCAATCACAGGAAGGGAGCTCTTTGCAGCTACAGTTGGAGGGATCCTTCAAGTTTCGCCAGCCCAGAGTCCAGCGCGCAGGTTGAAGGCACATTATTGGGGATGCCGGTTACAACGAGGGGCCTGGAGGGCTTCTACAGCTTTGAGACTTGGAGTAGCGGGGCATTGAAAGATCCCTGTACGTCTATCCCAGGAGCATGGGGTAGATAAGGCTTTGAGATATGGTCCATGTATATAAGACATCTACGCGCCTACAACTCATAGTACTCCATACCTACACTGCCATTATGTTTAATTGGTTGAAGCAAGCACACGCATTCGCTCTCTTTGGCTCTCTTTGCTCGTAACGTGGGATGTAGTCCATCAGTCTTCCGGAGTAGTAGGTAGTACGCTCCTAGGGTTAGATCAAGCACTTGTAGCGCTGAATGAAACACCTATTAAATCCGAGAAAATATGCGCAACCATTAATTTAGCACAAAAATAAATAAGACGATGATTCATCATGGTGATAACTACAGAGAGACGGAATGAGCAGTACCAAAGGTTGGACGTGAAGCACGCTGGCTGGAGGGGTCCGAGCTGCAACATGGAAGTACTAGGTAGTGCCGATCTTCTGCCGAGAAGTAGTGGCAGGGATTAGCTCAAGGCTCCAACGAGTGAGGTAAGCCTCCACGATTTCAAAGAGCAGCCACCAAGACCCGATCTGGCACAATCACCTCTGGCAAGCTCCCAACGAACCGACGCGAAACACACCGGAATTGACAGCACACACTCCAGAATAATATACCACCATCGTTGCAGCTCCCCCAATCATGTCTGCGGAAGAAGAGCGCCAGGCGGCCCTCAACGCCTACCGGGCGAAGCTCATCGAGTCCCGCGAATGGGAAGCAAAGCTGAAGAACCTACGGCTAGAGATCAAGGACCTACAGAAAGAATATGACCGGACAGAGGAGAATATCAAGGCACTTCAGAGTGTAGGACAGATTATTGGAGAAGTCCTGAAGCAGCTGGATGATGAGAGATGTAAGGCCACTTGCTACGGGCCTTGAGATGGGAAGCTGTTTCCAAGAATGATGCTAACCTTGAGCGCTTTCTAGTCATCGTCAAAGCGTCATCGGGTCCCCGGTATGTTGTCGGCTGCAGATCCAAGGTCGACAAAACGAAGATGAAGCAAGGCACACGTGTCGCGCTCGATATGACGACGCTCACGATCATGCGTATGCTCCCGCGAGAGGTCGATCCCCTAGTCTACAACATGTCACTGGAGGACCCTGGCCAGGTCAGCTTTGCAGGAATTGGTGGTCTTAATGACCAGATTCGAGAGCTGAGAGAAGTTATCGAGCTTCCCTTGAAGAATCCAGAGCTCTTCCTCAGAGTGGGCATCAAGCCGCCCAAAGGTGTCTTGCTCTACGGTCCTCCCGGAACAGGGAAAACCCTCCTAGCCAGAGCAGTTGCAAGCAGTCTGGAGACAAATTTCCTGAAAGGTGAGTGGGGTTTGACAGATGGGAGCGAGCTCTGAGTGGAAGAGCCAGGCTGACAGCTCCTAGTTGTTTCATCGGCCATTGTCGACAAATATATAGGAGAATCGGCGAGATTGATCCGAGAAATGTTTGGCTATGCCAAAGAACACGAGCCCTGCATTATTTTCATGGACGAAATCGATGCCATCGGAGGACGACGATTTTCCGAAGGTACCAGTGCCGATCGTGAAATCCAGAGAACCTTGATGGAGCTTCTCAACCAGCTGGACGGATTCGACTACTTGGGCAAGACAAAGATCATTATGGCTACAAACAGACCGGATACCCTAGACCCCGCGCTGCTGCGTGCTGGTCGTCTGGACCGAAAGATTGAGATCCCGCTACCGAACGAGGTTGGTCGACTGGAGATTCTCAAGATCCATGCCTCTTCTGTTGTCATTGATGGCGACATTGACTTTGAAAGCGTTGTCAAGATGAGTGATGGGTTGAACGGAGCTGACTTGCGAAACGTGGTCACTGAAGCGTGAGTTTTCTACCCACATCCCAATGACGAGATCTACGGAGCAACCCCTTGCTAACAAAGAGAAAAACAGTGGTCTGTTTGCCATCAAAGACTACCGAGAGTCTGTCAACCAGGATGATTTCAACAGGGCGGTGCGCAAGGTGATGGAAGCGAAGAAGCTAGAGGGCAAGCTTGAGTATCAGAAGCTGTAAGAGCGTTTCTAGGCAGGGTCATTGAAGAAGGGTTTCTGGCGCCAGTGGAAAAAGGATACCGATACGGGTACTTTTTAGGACTGTATAATAATGAATGATGTAGATGCAAATGCTGAGTGAGCTCTTGGCATAGGAATGACATGCATCAGCAACTACCTGGTATTATTCAACTCAGCCTCCCAAGGCATCTATCCATCTGTTGATGATGGTGATAGTCCTGGCATCAGGGGCGTGGTGTTGATAGGTAAGACTGACATGCTTGTAGATATTTACGGAGTACGGAGTGCTACACGATTACAGGGCCTCGGCATGTTGGTCTTGTTTCTCTGGCGTTTCTAATAAAGTAGTCAAAGTGTTGTGCCATGGCTGGATTTTGGCTGAGCACATGTCAGCCCTGCAATTGCCGCATCAAGTCATGCGATAACGAATTTGCAGCATGAAAAATGCTAGCATGACCACTAAGTAGGGCGGCTGAACTTGCTCCCTCCTTTTCCTGCTGTGAAGGAGCAAGGCAGACTGGCGATTATTATTGCTGATGTCAGAGTCAGAGGGAGATAATACCAGTAGCAGTAAGGTGGCATATTTTAGTAGAGGCCGGACTTCCAATGAGAGGCAAGCCACAGAGCATGTTTTCCCTACTTGTTGTTGTTGTTTGCTCTCCTCGTCGCGTTTTCTACTTGTTTTGTGTGTGTTTTTGTTGGGGGTGCGGTTTGCGTGATCCGAAGGATGGTTCAACTACGCAGGCTAACTGGAGGAAGCAACAGATCCATGGTGGCTTCGCGGAGATTACAGCACATTACTAGACGTTTACTAATAATAAAACGCCGTAGAAAGGAATATTTGAGATATCAAGAAGAGAAAAAATTGCACCGCGGCTGTCGAAATTGTGTAGACTCCATATCTCAGCGGCGCAAACAGAGTGATGCTATTCTTGGAAATAAGAAAAAGAGAGCTGAGCTAACGAACCGTTACTAAGGGGTGCTAGGGGCAAATCAATGAGGCTGTGAAAGGAACCTTCTCAGCACAAGCGCGATCTGGATTGTTCGGGGACGGCGCCAAGCAAGGGTGTAGATTGAGTGCGTCGCTTTCATCGTTTGCTTGGCCTGGACGATCAGAAGGCGCGGGCTATGCATTAGTGATTGCTTGCTTTGCCGTTGGTAGCGAGTCGGAGCGATAGCGTTATCACGGGCATACGAGGCTGCAATTTTATCGACGGGCCGGGGGGGCTATTTTCAGCATGAGACTCCGTATTTTGGCACAAAGGATGCCGGCCGTCTCTAGGTGCAGTGCCGGCAGAAACGGACAGGGGTGGTTTCTATCGGGAGAGGGGGGAAGGGGAAAAAAACCCAGAACAAAGATGGATGTGTGTACCTGGCCGAAATACGAAGTTATGACGTCTCCAGGAGGTGCCACAGAAGGATTTGCTCGTGCGGCACCAGAGGCGATTTTCTTCGTTTTCTACCTGATTCGATATTTTCTGAATCAAAATCGTGAAACCTGTGCCTGACTTTTTAATGGGTCTGTCAGTGCTTGGAGCAGCTTACTTGCCCACATAGAAAAAACGGGAGGGCTACGGAGTAATACTGGCGAACCGTCAGTTGAACGGGCTTTTGGACGGAGCATAGTACGGATCCTGTCTTGTCTGTGTAAGACGCCTTTAGCACGGCTCGAGCGAGGGGATTGGCCGGAATCAGGGTCGGGCGGTGGCATGGTGGTGAGTCGCTGGTGGACGCCACACGAGGCTCCTTTTCCCCTTGATCTAACGCATTCAGAGGACGACATGGATGGCGAGAAATGCTAGCGTCAGGTTTTGCCAGTTTAGCGGCGAGGGCTAGCCTTGGAACTTGCGTTGCCGGCAGCGAACCGTTGCTGGGGCGAAGGGGGATGCTTGGCCGGAGGGCTTTTGATGGCGGTTTTTTTTTTTGGCGGGCGAGGGGTCTGTGCCTGGTCGGTGCGAGCGAGGGCTGGACATGATGATGACGGTTCGGAGGCGAGACAAGATGGAGTACGGAGTACGGAGCAGATAGTAGTAGATGATGGAATGTGGGATGCTGGACGTGCTGTACGACGCTGACGACGGAGCCCCACCACGAGATGTAGAGAATTGAGGGGCGCCTTAGTGCGGGAACGACGCAGGGCGTTATCCAGTCACTGCGCCAGATGTGTTTACTGGACGTCAATGGCATGGCATGGCATTTTCTGGCACCGGGGAAACGAGGCGAGGCGAGGCATGGGTGCCCGATATCGAGAGCGAGTTGTCATTCTGCTTCTGCTTTTGGCTTTGGCTTTGGCTCTGGCTCTGCTGCGTGTTATACTGTACAGTATCTACCTTATGAGCACAAGCTCTAGTATCTACTGCAGCTGTAGCTGTAAGGCCTCGACCCCGCCACGAGCCAATGCGGCCGGTAGCTGCCAGCACGCGCAGTCCGAGATGCGTACAAGTGCAGCATGAGCGAGCATCTGAGCCATGACCTGCTGTGGCCGGCCTTGTCAAGCGGCGGAATCGTCCGCATCTGTCCATCTCACGCCCGACATGCTCAGCTCCGGATCACACCTTCACACACCCCCTGGGCATCAATCAACTGGGGACATGGGTGACTTTGGAGTCCCTTTGGGCCGCTTTTGGCAATCAAGCTTACAACAAGGTGTGATAAGTGGCAGATGAGACAGGCGTGAATTGGCATTGTATCTCGTCTGTACTCGTACTTGTACATTCAAGTAAGGTACTATCAATAGAGTCGGGATTAAGGTAGCGGTGACGTTGGGTATAGGTAGGTACTTGGTGACTTGGTAGCAACTCGCATAAAGTCCCAGATCGGACAAAACCAAGGCAGGCGGGAGTGAATCCAATAGTGTTACATCGATGCCATGGAAGCTCGTAAACTCGACCTTGGCTGCGACGCAGGTACGAAGCGCCACAGAACAGACTCAGAATAGCACACGGCACAGCACAGCACTCAGCAATCGAGCAGGGAGACGAAAGACGAAAATGGTGCTTTGCAAGGCTAGAAAACCAGGTCAACAGGGAGGGAGTGTGTACGAGTGCAGTAGGAGGGGCAGCAACAACAACAGCCAAAGACCATCTCCGTCATCCAGCT